GTACATACTTCAAGATAACACAACACAACACCATGTTTTGTTTTGACATTTGATCAAAGTTGTCGAAATGGCGGCGATTTTGTTTAATATCTAAAAATCAACGTGTCCGGAACCGTTTCTCGGACCTGAACAGAATGATTTCAATCAAACTTAGTATGGTGATCATGTATATTGGGTTACAGGTGCACGTTATATTTTTTTCAAAATCTGAACCAAAATGGTTACTCTGTTACTCTGTGACTAAAATTTGTTCCACTGATAACTCAAGATCTACAATTTCAATTCAAATCAAATTTGGCACACAGCTAATATATGATGAGTAGATGCGCTGATTAGATTTTAGTGCAATTCCATGCATATTAATTAATCAATTATTGCATTAATTAGTCCCCGTTCGGACGCAGTATCTGTATCTTGGAAATGCCTGGACCAATCACAATCAAACTTCACACATACATCATACATGATATTATACATATGCACGTCAATTTGTTTCAATCTGATCTGATTCAAGATGGCCGAATGGCGGCCATTTTTGTGCTAAAAATCATCAAAATCAAGCATTTCTCGGCTGTTTACAGATGGATTTTGTTCAAACTTGGTATATACATTAGACATTATAAGACCTTGATGCACATCATTTTGTTTCACAATCTGATTCAAGATGGCCGGATGGCTGCCATTTTTGTGTTAAAAAATCCTAAAAATCAAGCATTTCTTGGCTATTTACAGATGGATTTTGTTCAAACTTGGTATATACATTAGACATTATAAGACCTTGATGCACATCATTTTGTTTCACAATCTGATTCAAGATGGCCGGATGGCTGCCATTTTTGTGTTAAAAAATCCTAAAAATCAAGCATTTCTTGGCTATTTACAGATGGATTTTGTTCAAACTTGGTATATACATTAGACATTATGGGAGCTTGATGCAAATAATTTTGTTTTTAAGATTCAAAATGGCCAACTGGCGGCCATTTTGTTTTAATGAATGTGGTTCTCGTGCCATATCTCTGACTTGCTTTCACTGATTATGTTCAAATTTTAAATATTCATTATACAACATGTCATAGATAGACAGATATATTGGTTTGATGATCCTATTCAAAATGGCCAAATGGTGGCCATTTTAGTGCTAAAAAATCATCAAATATCAAGCATTTCTGGCATTTATGGATGGGTTTCGTTCAAACTTGGTACATATATTAGACATTACAGGTTCCTAATGCACATCATTTATTTTTCAGATCGGATTCAAAATGGCTGACTGGCGGCCATTTTGTTTTAATGATTGGGCTTCTAGAGCCATATCTCTGAAATGCTTGACTGATTATATTCAAATTTTATATATTCGTTATAGATCATCGTACATCTATACATGTATTCAAAATGGCTGATTTTGAATGCTGTTCCAGAGCAATATCTCTCAATATGGACAAGTACTTGTTTGACGATCAGATACAAATGTCAATTTTATATGGTTATATTTTATATTTTATATGGACATGGTTATATTCCAGCCATATTACTATAAACAAAACTATTTATCTTAAATTTGATAACTAACGGGGACTGTGACATGCATGGCTTGTTAATTTATAACTTAGTGTCTTTAAAGTTTCTTAACAAATATTTGACTAGGATGAGTAGCCTAATTTGCATATTGCAATAACTTATTGTCGCAAAAAAAAAAAAACTGGTAATATTTCATTGGAAGATCTGCAAATTTGTGAATTTTAGTATATAATGATTTATTATATCATGATGGATGTTATTTGAGTAGATACAGCGACTAAAAACATCAAATGTATGAGAGTATGGGGAGTACGCATGCGCAGTTACAAGAGTGACGCGTCCATTTTTTCAGTTTGACGAAAAGGCAGTACCCTTTCCGATTTTCATGAACGCAAGTTCAATTTCACTTTGTGCGTCATATTCATCAATAGACATGCGTTGCTTAGACAATAGCTGCGTAACTTTCGTTTCGCCCGCGATTCTGCAGTGTTCTCATCAGGTCTTTTAAGGGTATCGGATCCGATACTGTTCTTTCTTTCCACGATACTGTTTCCCTCAAGCTTGGCCGTTCCCAGGCCATTGTTTTGCAATGATGAATCAGAACAGAACAATTCGTGTGAACTGATCGATCCTAACTTATTATCTGGATACTCGTATGAATAGCATGAATATAGAAGGAAATCAACGATTTTTTTCAGTATCGTTCTAGACTTTGCAAGAAATTTATATAATAATCACAGTGATCACTACTATTGGGTTCAAAAATTATTTATGATCATTCAAAATATAGTGGCCATGGCTGTCGATTCAACCCAGTACTGACCTTCACCGCTATTGCGACGCCACGAGCAGAGAAAAGGGAAGCTGAATCCCCGCGTCTACACTTTAATCCATGTATAAGGCAGACACCCGACAGCAACAGCAAGGAAGTTTGTCAGTTTTATTCAAGATATAAATTTTCTATTTTTTGCAATGTGATCTAATTTGTAAACAATCTCTTTGCACACGACTCCCAGTGTCTTCTCCTGAGCAGACAGTAATGTTTCACATTTGTTTTCGCATGGTTTCCATCTTACTCAAATAAAACGAAGCAGTTGATTCCTATTTTACTTAGTGTTTATTCTTGTTTGATATTTTTAAACAAAAATGCACTCATTAAACAAATAGTAAATATGCAAGTTTTTTGTTTTTGTCGAATGAGGACAAGGAAGACAAAATGACGGTAGTTTTGTGTAGGGTCGATCGCGATCTTTGGTTGGTATCAAAAGCACGTCTCACAAATG